GCCTCAGGAAGGGAAGTTATTCATTTTAGACAGATGTACATCTTGGTGGGGCCGGAGTTTTTACAGTGCGAACACTCCATTTTTTAATCTGTTTGATACTAGGGTTGCAGTAACAGTGACAGGCGCATTGTGGGACGCACTATACGCATGTGTGCGCACACCCCAAAGAGTCTCTCTGGCCCAAAGAGCTTTCAATATAATGCTGCAGAAATTGATTTTTAGGAGGGATTTGACTGTTGCATGGGTGGGTGCTTAGCAAATGAGTTTGGGAAGGGCATTCTAAGCATATGGAGCAGAGTAGCAGAAGGCACAGATGTTCATAGGGGGGTTATTTTCTAGCTCAAAAGAACCTTGTGCAACACAATCAGTATGGCAGAAACTCCCTTGTCCATTGAAAGCTGAGCTGGCATAAGTGGGCACTCTGTATAGGGGGTACATACTGTTTTTTTCTTTGCCATTCTGCCCATTTTTTCATTCTCTCTTAACCAGAACCAGAAGCTGATAACGTTTGCTGAATTTTCAGACTCAGTGTTTGAATGGTTTCAAAGCTAAGCAAAATGTGTTCACCTGTCCCTCCTTGTGTGTGTTTGCAGAGTGTATGAGCCCAGGAGAACAGCCTTTGGACGCAAAGAGGCTCTCTGTTCCACTGGTCGCTCATGGAGACAAGTGTGAAATCGCTTACAATATGCTGGCAGAGTGTCTTGTATGCAAGCACATCCAGCTATTTTTAGGTGGAAACGATCTGCGTGACATTAATAAGCAACTGGGTCACAATGAATCAGCCTCTGATTATCAAACTAGCATCTCTGAATTGCTGAGTAAAGTAATTGGTAAAGCTTTGCATATCATTCCTTTTTTTATCATTTGAGGGTGGGAGAGCTCTCCCTATCTTCTCATCAAAATCAAAACTTCCCAAGTGTTCAAAATATTTACCAAAGGGAGCAGAGCGATGAAATGTTTACATTTTCGACTGCCTTAAATAGGGCTGCTGCTTAGGATTGGAGCGCGTGAGCAGACAGAGCTAAATGTAGTGTTACGTGAAATAAAACACACGTTAGCAGCATTCGAAGTGGACAGCTAAACATGGTGGGAACTCTGTCACCCTGATGTCCAGGTGCAGGGGCCATTCAAAGCGGGCTGGCGCTCTCCTGAAGGTGTCATGGGGTGGAGGGTAGGAGAGACATTCAGGCCTGCAGGATGTCAAGGGAGGAGGAGAGGGAAAGCCGAATGCACTTTACAAGGTATCCTAATAGCATATTAATGCCCACGGCACAGTTCTGTTGTCCATATACAAGATTGCACAATTTGTGAGGTTCATCGGTTCTTTTCTCCACCTCCCACTGAAGCATTCCATGTTGGCCACAGTACGAGGCAGAATGTCACATTAAATGGACCATTGGTCTGATCTGATATGGCAGAGCTTTCATTCTTAGTAAAGCTGGTTAAATACTGGGAGGGGAGGGAGAACCCTGAGCATTCCTTACAAGCCTGAAAAAAGGTTTGTTTCAGCCCGTCTCATTGCCCCTTCTGTATTTGCTCTCAATTTGTGAAGTTCAAGCAATGGTTACTCTCACAAAAGCTTGCAGAAATGAATTTTTTTAACCGTCCAGAAATGGCATATTTTGTAAGGCTAGGACAGTGCTTAGCTTAGCAAGAGGATAAGGTTCCTTATATCCCCATTGCCAGAGAAGTAAACAAACGAACCTCTCAAGAATCTGAGCCCACAATTAGGATACTGCAGTTGTGTGCGCGTCCACAATTATATTGTGAGAGAACTTCAAATTAAACTCCGTTGCAATTCTTGCCATAGCTTGATTTGTTTCACCCCAGGAATGAAGGACTAGGTGGCTCGAAAATCAAAAGGCTTAACATTTTCTAAAATTCCCTGAGATGACCCCTCTCAAAGATTTGAAGCCCCTACGGTGGCTTCAAGTTTTCCTTCTGATTAGAAGTATTGTGCTCATCCCAATCAGCAAACTGAAATAATATCATGTGACCTACGATCAGTTACACAGCACAGCTGTAATTGCAAAATCAGAGTATAGAATGTTTGCCTCGATCTATAGAATTCTGTAAAAAAACAAACACACGCAACGTCCATTAGAATAGCATGTGGTAGTATTTCAATGTGCTTGCAGGTATTTCAATGAGAAAAGGGCTAATTAATCAAGTCAGTGCTTCTCTGGCTATATGGAGTAACCTGTTCAAAATGCACAGTAGCAGAGCATTCCATTTTATGTAGAGACCATTCCAACAAAAATACCAGGAAGATTCCTTCATGTTTTTAGTACAGTTTGTTACTATGGTGTCTTGTGCTTTGCAGCACAATGTGCATAAAATGATATGCAAATGCTAAAATGCTTCTGCTCTTACAAGCCATGGACACACACACGCATCAGGAAAACTATCTCCTGTTTTGATTCAGTTTTCCATAAGTTTTAAGTTTAGACGGGAGAAGGCCGGACATGTGCTTTGAAGCTCTAGATGGTGACTGTTGTTCAGGCGGAGAGCCCCATATTCTAAGCCTGTTCTCTTCTCAATCTACCATTGACCTACTAATCTTAAAACCCTGCAAATGGAAAAGTTTTCAGTCTAAACCTTAGTTTGTTCATGTTGTGAACTGACTTCCTTTTGTGGCCCTCCCAGTTTGACGCTGGATAGCTAATTTCCAGTGTTAGCCTCTGCCGGGGGAGGCCAAGGTGCACACTTCTATGGCAAACTGGTTGTTGGTTGCACATGGGGAACTCCTGCTCCCTCAGCATGTTAATTTCTACACTGAGCAGATAAGGTGCTGCTTTTAATGTAAAAAGTTTTGCTATCACTCTCTCCAGCAGCTTTGCAAAGCTAAATATTTCATCAGAACCCCTGTCATATATTCCCTTTTGCATAGGTTTTGGTACCACTTGGACACTGACTTGTGAAAAAGTAATCTTTATAACCCATGTGTTCCAGTCAATGACCTGCCACACAACCTGCATTGTAACATGACCAAATTAAGTGGGTAGGTGGATTTTAAAGACCAATTCTATTTTATAAAGTTATCCAGATAATCAGCCTTTCAGTTGTGATTGTAAAACAGGCCCGGACCAGTTAAGGTTAGTAAAGATCTGATGTCTCTCTTCATAAGAGTAGAACTTTCAACCTTCATGTCATTCCTAAAATCCATTTGGATACTTCTATTGGGCCTAACAAAACTGGAGACTATATTATCTTTACTACCTGTCCTAAACTACTGTTGTGGGCTGTTAAACAGCTGCCACATTCCTTCCCAGATGTGGTGGCATTAGTGGAAGGTAAAATGAGTTGTGTTATACAGCTTTATTTGTAAAGTATTTTGAAATCCTTGAGTGAAAAGTACTGTAAGCATAAAATACTACTAGTAGTAAAAAGCAATAATTGCTGAGAGAACACAAATAAATAGTGTCTGGGTCAAATATTGCCACCTTAAATTTTCTAGAAGGTCCCAGTTCTATTAAGACTGATCCTGAATGGACTGCCATACTTTTAGTTCATGAGTACGCTTTATTCAGAAGGCATAACATACTCTGTGCACAGCGAGGGAGACCTTGTGCAGAAGGGTGTGTATTCAGCTCAGGGCTATTGACATTGCGTAAAGGAATTGTTCACTAACGGATCCTCTTTTATTGTTGGCAGAGTATACCAGCCCCTTTCTTGGCAACTGGCAGTCTTCTTGGTTTCTTGGAAACAGATGTCCCAAAGTGCCAAATTATGTAGGGTTTTTTTGGGGGGGCGGGGAGGCTTGATTAAAAAAACCCAAAACTTAGTAATGCACATTTCAAGAAATGGAGAGTCTGAAAAGAACTATCTTATCTGAAATGGCATGTTCCAGTATTTAGTATCCCTGGAATAGTTGGATTTAATATTAGGCACATGTTTTCCCATGTAACAGAGGGGTAGCCGTGTTAGTCTGGATCTGTAAAAAGCAACAGAGAGTCCTGTGGCACCTTTAAGACTAACAGATGTATTGGAGCATAAGCTTTCGTGGGTGAATACCCACTTCGTCAGACACATGTAATGACATTATGTCTGACGAAGTGGGTATTCACCCACAAAAGCTTATGCTCCAATACATCTGTTAGTCTTAAAGGTGCCACAGGACTCTGTTGATGTTTTCCCATGTAATTCCGTCTGTTGTAAATTAGAATTTACGTACGTCTTCAGCTTAGTTTCTAGCTCCTAGATGGGAAGAAATGGACCTTATTAAAAGCAATTTTTGCTACGAAGGTGATTTCAACAGCTTTGAAGTTTGCAGTGAATGGATTTTAGATCTTTTGTTAGTGATGGGATTGTGTGAATTAGCAACCTGTGTGTTAGAGGGGTTAGTGGAAAAACTATACCATACAATACTGCCTGGGTTTTCTGCAAATGGGCCTGGTGGATGGGACATCAGGATTCTCTAAGAGAATTTCAGTGCTGCTGCAAGGTGCTGCAGACTGCCTTGCTTAATTATCTGCAAAATGGGTACAGCACAGGCAGTAAAGGCTTCTTGACCCCCTGTCATGCAGGGTCCAGCAGTTCAACCTCCATGTCCAGTCAATCCTTGGCCTTCCTGAGGTGTGCCACCAGAGTGCTAGTCATGAATATGGATCTGTCAGCTAGGAACTTGACTGAAACTACAATGGCATTTCACACAGGTCACCAAACAGCCATCAGATGGTAATGGCTGGGTTATTACCAACCTGGGCTGGATTTGAACCGGTGATGGAAAAACTCTGTATTATCTTTCCAGTATCTTGGATGATCTATCATCTAAGCCTATTGAAAACTGATTTTTTCAAATAGTGCCCTAAACTTATTAAATGGCTTCCACAGTTCTGTAGAGCCTCTGGATTTAAATGATTTAAAACACACAGCTGTGCTCTCTGTCCTACCAAACTTGGATGCTGATGGACTCAACCAGCAGCAAATTAGAGAAATGACTGCATATCTGTGTTTGTTAAGCCATGTCTAATGGTTGGTTGTTTTTGTTTTTTTAACAGGATCCAACAGCTGCATCTATCTCAGACAGAGACTGCGATACAAGGGAGGGAGAGACCGTAGCCATGAACTATAAACCATCCCCACTTCAAGTGAAACTAGGTGAGTCTCTGCGTTAACACAGAATGATGATTTTTTTAAAAATGAAAGCTTGCCAAAGGAGTGCAGTGTGCTATGGGATTCTGTGGTGTGACACTCATGTCTCTGTTATTATCCGAAGCACTCCAGTCAGTTAAGATACCTTCTTGAACAGCTGACAAATCTGACCATGCCACAGACAACCAGTTGCTCAAGAGGGACCTCCTTTCTATTACTACGCTGGGGCTTCTAAAATGGAAGCTAGGGGAGTCCCTCCCTTTCTGGAAGGTCTTCGGGGGGAGGGATAGCTCAGTGGTTTGAGCATTGGCCTGCTAAACCCAGGGTTGTGAGTTTAATCCTTGAGGGGGCCATTTAGGGACCTGGGGCAAACATCTGTCTGGGGATTGGTCCTACTTTGAGCAGGGGGTTGGACGACTTGACCTCCTGAGGTCCCTTCCAACCCTGATATTCTATGATTCTATTCTATGAAAGGATGGTGTCACCTTTGTTCTCTGAAGAGGTGCATCAAGATGAGATAAATATTCAGGGCAGATAAAATGTGAGGCTTAGAAAAGTCATTGGGGTGAAATCCAGCTGCTGTCCTGAGCTCAGCAGTGCATTCGCTTGACCAGTCTGACAATCATATTTCTACCATAACTCTGGTGGAATTTCTCCTCAGACATAGCCCTTCACTAGTGTATACGCTGTGCCTGCTTAGTTAAGCAAATATGTGTCTGGTGGGCTCATTCATATATGCAAACAAATGCACTGTTAAGATAAAGCATCAGCTTAATTCAAGACAGCAGCTGGATTTCATCCCCAATGACTTTCATAAGCATAGCATTTTATCACCACTAAATACTTATCTCACCTTGATACAACTCTTCAGAGCCGAAAAGTGACACCATCCTTTCTGGTAGGTCAAGAGGGAGGGACTCCCACAACTTAAGTTTGAGTATTAACTAAGCAGGCACATCGGACAGACTAATTGAGAGAGAGATTTGAGAACTCCCACCCGAGTTTTGGTAGAAATATGGTCCATCATATAGATCTAGGTAGATAGATATAGATATCAAACACACGTTTGGATTCCAGTCTTTGCTTGTGGCTGTGCCAAGAATTTTAGGAGGAACGTTAATTGACATGGGGCAGAATGGGACTAATTTGATGTCTTGAGCCATTGGAGCGGTTTGTTAATCCTTGTCAGCTGCCGCTACTTTTAAAAACTGTCAGACTTACAAGATGTACTCACAGTTCAGTGTGGCTCACCTCTTTTTGTTTCAACCCTCATTCCCCTGCCTCTTCTCTTGTCTCTCCTTCATTTTCTGTCTGGTGTAGGTCTTGAACTCTTCAGGGCAGCGATTGTCTTTTTAATCTTTTCAATGCTCCGGGCAAAGTTATAGTGCTATATAAATATTCAGTAGCTTTCCTCGCACAGCTATTGCATGGGCCATTTAGAGGTCAGGATTCTAGTCCTACTGCGGATGTGCCAAAAAGATAGTGGCATTAACTTTTTTTTTTTAGTATTGTTAAAGCATAGTCGGTTGTTCTAATGTCAAACTCAGTCCCTTGATCTGACAGTAGACTAATCCATTGTCTGTTTTCTCTATGGATATTCAGACATATAGTAACCACCTGCGCATTCTGGGAATCCTGGTTTGAATGAGCTCTGTTAAAATACCAACTCAGCATGAACACAACTTTTACTTCCAGAGCCAGCAGTGGTTGGGAATGCTGCACGGGTAGTATGCTACATCCTGGGAGAGGGATTGTATTGAAAATCATTAACCTGTCCAGCCACTGAATGTCCTCCATATTGGAAGGGTGTTCCATTATGTTTTGTGACAGAAGCATGGGAGCTGGAATGTCGGTGCTCAGGAATGGGTGTTAAGAATAGGAAGAGCCTCCTGGTTGCACTGGAGTTTTCGATAATTCCTCAAAGGCAGGGGTTGGCTTGAACATAGCTAGTGCAGTAAAACGTTTAGCTTTTTCTCAAGTAAAAATACTGTGGGACCGTATCTTAAAAAACACACAAATGGGCTGTAGTTAGTTCCAGGGAAATAATATCACCTGGTTCTGGTGACAAACCACAAGCATTTACTTATGATTTATTACCCTGACCCCTTAATGAAATTATAGCCTTGATAATACTTTAATTCGTCTATATTTGCTTGACATATATTCTGACGCTCCTTCTGTGTTTGTATCACTGTGTCAGATTGTAAATTCCTCGGGGCAGGGACTTTGCCTCTTATTTGTAAATCACTTGATAATGAGGTGTTCTTCAACACTGCTGTCAATGTATGGGCACCTAAGCATTCACAGGGTGTTTTCAGCTCATGTAAAGTGTAACAAATGGACCTGGTACCTCAAGCCTATGAGAACAAGACAGGGCTTTGATAGGTGAAAAAGGAGAATAAAGTAATCGCAAAGGGTAAATCTCAGAGTTTGATATCCATTGGAAGACAGCAGTTCCCGATGTGATTCCCACACAATTCTGTATTGTTTTAATAATGCATAGGCCACCTGTTTGGCTACTTCACATTTCTAATTCCTTTTCTGTGCTGAAATCTTCATCAGTATCTTAGGTTTGTCCTACCCATGTTTCGGATCAAATGATGGTGTAAATAATAGAGCATTTATGTAAAATTTAGAAATGGAGCTAATTATTTGAGTTCCAAGATGGAACTTTATGTAGGTGGGTGAGAAATCACAGGAGTTTTGCGGACTCCAATACACCCTGATTTCCTTCACCCACCTGGTGGTTGTGATTTGGAGCATGTAATAGGGTTTAGAAATTTTCTTTCACCTGCTCTCGATCTTACCACAAGGAAGCAAAAGTAAGGTACACAGAATTTCATGCACGGCTAGGAATTGTCATCACCTCTAGGGATTGGATGGTAATGGTCACAGTTTCAGGGTAACTACTCCTGTATTCCTACCCACTGCCCCCACAGTCTACTCCAAGAGTGCCCAGTCAGGTCTCATGTCTCCAGCTATCACTTGTGTCCAGTCTGCCTAAAGGCAAGCACCAGTGCCTTGCTGTCTCTCCAAGTGCTATGACCAGAGGTACAAGTTATCACACAGCTCTTTCTCAGCAAGCACCTTTATTCTTAAGGTAAAAGCATTACAGTGAAAACGTATTAAAAAACCTATAAACGTTCTTGTATGCATGTTGAAAGCTTACCAGAGGCCATCAGTCTTACAAGGCCCTAGTAGGCCAAAGTCTTTTCAACCCCTTCTGCAAGGGTTGGGAGCCCCCTTGGACAAAAAGTCCTGTCCATTTGCTGGATCAGAAAGAAGGCCCTGACTCCGTTTAATCCCAGCCTTTTTATATCAAAAGTCCTTTCTTCGTCTGTTGGTCTCAGTTTGAGACAGCATATGCGAGCCTCCCCAGGGGTGGTACCTCCCGGGGGTGGGGGGAGGGCGGTTTACAAGTTGAGTGATTCCCCATAATCACCCCCTGTACACACACACACTATTCTTAGTTTCTGGCGGAGCTGTGGCAATCCTCCCTATCTGGAGTTGCATCCATAAACCATCCATATGCTTAACACAATATGGTCCCCAGAGATACTGCCTGCAGTTGCAGTAATGTACTACAGAACTTCTCTGCCAGCTATCAACAGTCTTCACTAAATGAGAATTACAGGCGATGACTATAGACGTCTGAATCTGATCTGCTACGAGGATGTCTTGACAGTTTTTAGTGACGCCTAGAGAGGAGACATGTATATACAAAGCTGTAGGTTCTAGAATAAGAATGAGATTTCAGTGGGTGTGAAAATGTATGTTCTCTGAATCAAATTTAGAAGGCAAGCTAATGGAGACTTAGCTGGTGTAATTAAGACCTTTTTTTCCACTTCCCTCAGCGTGTAACCTTTTCCCTTTAGACTCTCCCTCATTTAGACACTTGGATGCAATGAGCTAAATTCAGAGGTGACCTAGTGTCAGATGATCAGATGGAGATCCATGTGCTCAGCGGTGCAGTCTTGAGGGGTTTTGTTTTTGTTCGGAATTTTATTGCAAGTCTGCATGGTAGAAGTGACCTCAATTGCAGCAGCACTAGATAAATTATCTACTGTCCTAGTTGCAATTGTTTTCCCTCCGAGCTTAGATCTCATGCTGACATTTCTCTTAATTCTAAAACATTCAGTGGCTGATGCTAGACAGCCCCAAAAGGAGAAGCAAGTGTCACAAAGTAGCCTTTCATGTGAGCTACAGTAGTTCAATTATATCATCTCCTAACACAATCCGAAATGGTCCTTGCTTCTTGAAGCAAGGAGCCATCCTGGTACTAGTAACAGCAGAGCTATTGCATGAAATAATTGGGTACTAGCACCTTCCTGCTGGCAACTGCATTGCAGGAGATTTCTTTTCTGCTCTGTGAGATATTGTACGATTTATTCTTTGAGCAGGTCTACTATTGGGGAGGAAATTCTCCTTTCCTGGAGCCCGGAGGGCATTTATAAGTTAGGCATGCATGCCCCCACACTCCATCCCTGCCTTCCTGATGGCCCCCTCTCTGCCTCACTTTCCCTGGCCCAAAACACAGCAGCACTGTGGACAGGCAAGAGATATTGAACAGCTGCGTAGAAGGGACATGGGGAAAAAGTGGGATTTGAAGGAGAGAGATGGGGGGAGAGGAGCTGTCCTCTGACAAAATATTTATTGATGTTCTGTATTAAATGTAGCAACCCTGGTTAGATCTCTAAGGACTCTCCTCTTCTCCCACTTTCCCCTGTGCTAATCCCACCTCTCCTGAGATGTTCACAGGGACTCGATGGAATTCTGCTAGAGGTGTGCTGCTGCTGCTGCTTAATCTGCCCGAGGGCTCACTATTGAGTAGCAAAGGGGAACTCTTTCACGATATCCAGAGACTGCTGAGCAAACGACAGCTGTTGCACATAGGAAGTGAGAGTGGGACAAGCAGTCAAATCCGAGTTTCACGTGGCCATGTAAAAAATGGCCTGATGGTTACTGGCCCAACCTCTGCCTCTTGCTAATTGTTCATCTTTTGTTTC